GGGGGAGAAAGGAGAAAATCGGTCTCTGGGTGGCGAAACTCCCGCCTGTGACAGCGGCATCAGGTAGAGGAGAGGAAGAGAAGACAGGAGAAGCGCCCCCGTCCCGCCTGCGCGGCCCGTGTGGCAGCCTGGCTGCTGAGTGTCACCCCTAACTCAGGACGGTGGTACCAGCTGGTGACCTGTAAGTAAAGATAACTGTTCCACCCTCATCAGAAAAAACGAGAAAAAAAAATGAGTAAATCCTACTTAGAGATGTCTTTTTCAGGGCAGACTAACGTGGCGGTGTTTTCTTTCTTTGCAAATATTTACTCTTCTTTTTTGTTCTTGTTGTTCTTAGTAAAAAAACGGACTCTTATGGCTTCCACATCGGCTTCGCAGCCTTCTCCTAAAAAAACGGTGGCCTCTCACGTGCCTTTTGCAGATCTATGTTCTACTCTGGAGCGAATACAGACGTGTAAATCGCGTCCGGAGAAAATCAAGTATTTCAAGGATTTCCTGGATTCCTGGAGAAAATTCCATGATGCTCTTCATCAAAAAGAGAACGATGTCACGGATTCTTTTTATCCAGCTATGCGACTTATTCTTCCACAGTTGGAAAGAGAAAGGATGGCCTATGGAATTAAAGAAACTATGCTTGCAAAGCTGTATATTGAACTGCTTAATTTACCAAAAGATGGAAAAGATGCTGCAAAGCTTTTAAATTACAGGACACCTGCAGGCTCACGTGGAGATGCTGGAGATTTTGCAATGATAGCATACTTTGTGTTAAAACCAAGGAGCCCAAAACAAGGCCGACTGACAATAGAACAAGTCAATGAACACTTAGATGCGATAGCTAGTAATAATACTGCAAAAAACAAGGGTATGTTAAAGAAAAGTCTTCTTCAGTTAATTACCCAGAGCACAGCACTGGAACAAAAATGGCTCATCCGGATGATTATAAAAGATCTAAAGCTTGGTGTTAGTCAACAAACTATATTTTCCATTTTTCATCCTGATGCTGCTGAATTACACAATGTCACAACTGATTTGGAAAAAGTTTGCAGACAACTGCATGATCCGTCTGTCTCACTTAGTGATGTTTCTATCATGTTGTTTTCTGCCTTTAAACCAATGCTTGCTGCTATTGCTGACGTCCAGCAAATTGAGAAACAAATGAATAACCAGATATTCTACATAGAAACTAAGCTGGATGGTGAACGTATGCAGATGCACAAAGATGGAGATGTGTATAAATATTTTTCCCGAAATGGGTTTGACTATACTCAGCAGTTTGGCGCTTCCCCCCTTGAGGGTTCATTAACACCATTTATTCATAATGTATTTAAGACCAATATACAAAATTGCATTCTTGATGGTGAAATGATGGCTTACAATCCTGAGACACAAACCTTTATGCAAAAGGGAAACAGATTTGATATAAAAAGAATGGTGGAGGACTCTGATCTGCAGACCTGCTTCTGTGTGTTTGATGTATTGATGGTTAATGATCAGAAGTTGGGTCATGAAATACTAAGCAAAAGATATGAAATCTTAAGTAGCATATTTACCCCAGTAATGGGCAGGATACATGTTGTACAGAAAAAAAGCGCCAGAACAAGAAAAGAAGTAATTGATGCTTTAAATGAAGCAATAGATAACAGAGAAGAAGGGATTATGGTGAAAGATCCCATGTCCACCTACAAGCCTGACAAACGTGGGGAAGGCTGGTTAAAAATTAAGCCAGAATATGTCAACGGACTGATGGATGAACTAGATCTTTTAATTGTTGGTGGTTACTGGGGGAAGGGCTCACGTGGTGGAATGATGTCTCATTTTCTGTGCGCTGTTGCAGAGACACCCCCTCCAAACGAAAAGCCTACCGTTTTCCACTCTATTTGTCGTGTTGGCTCTGGCTATACCATGAAGGAATTGTATGATCTAGGTTTGAAACTGGCTAAACACTGGAAGCCCTACCATAGGAAGGACCCTCCCTGTAACATTTTGTGTGGAACTGAAAAACCTGAAATGTATATTGAACCTTGCAACTCTGTCATAGTCCAGATCAAAGCAGCTGAGATTGTTAACAGTGACATGTACAAAACTGACTGTACTTTGAGATTCCCCCGAATTGAGAAGATAAGAGAGGACAAAGAATGGTACGAATGCATGACTTCAGACATGTTAGAAGATCTCAGAAGCAAAGCAGAAGGGAAGCTGGCATCTAAGCACCTTCATATAGATGAGTATGATGAGCCACAAGAGAAAAAAAGGAAAACTGTGTCAAAGGTGAAGAAGGTAATTGGAATAGCTGAGCAATTTAGAGCTCCTGATCTTTCCAGTGTAAACAAGGTTTCAAATGTATTTGAAGATGTTGAGTTTTGTGTTATGACAGGAACGGCAAAATGCTCAAAGTCTGAACTGGAAAGCAGAATAGCTGAATGTGGTGGAAGCGTGGTACAGAACCCAGGGCCGGACACTTACTGTGTCATTGTAGGAGCTGAGAATGTCAGAGTGAAAAACATCATTGCTTCCAACAAATACGATGTGGTGAGGGCAGAGTGGCTCCTTCAGTGTTTTCAGACCAAAACGTTTGTGCCTTGGCAGCCAGCCTTTATGATTCACATGTCTCCCGACACAAAAGAACATTTTGCTCGTGAGTATGATTGTTATGGAGACAGCTACACAGCAAACACAGATGTTGCACAACTCAAGGAAGTGTTCTCAAGAATAAAAGACAGTAAGTTGATGCCTTTGGACATGATTGCAGACTTAGAAGAACGTTATTCATGGACAAGCTGTCAACTCAGTATATTCAGAGGAAACACTATTTACGTGGACTGTTACGCTGTTGTTAATGAGCCCAGAACCAAAATCCATGGAACAACACTATCCGTTAGAGCTTTGGAGCTCCGTTTTTATGGTGCAAAAGTCGTCTCTCACC